AATAAAATAATATGTTATTGTTGACTTTGACAATTGATAACCCCAAATTCCAAATCATTTCATACCCCTTATTAGGGGTGCCATTAGCACTCCCTCTATATATATATATATATATATATATATATATATTGGTTATTATACAACCATATATATATATATATATTGGTTATTATATAACCATTTACATTTGTACAACCAATATACAATCTAATCTCAATCGTCCATTTAATTTGATGAATATGTGATTTCATATGAGTTTTGATTGTTTCACAATATAAAGTATTAATTATAAGTAATGAACTATATTCATCTTTCATTAATATTTAAATCATAATAAATGAACTCACATCATTTCTATAAATATCTCAATTAATTGTATTGCATTGGTTGTACAAATGAACATAATTGCATTTGAAATGTACCCTATATATATGTGTATGTATGTGATGGGTTGCATTTGAAACAAACTATATATATATATATATATATATATCCAATATACTAAACGTTAATCTTAATTAGAGATATAAATATCGAGTATAGACTTGGGATCACGAGACCAGTTTGTTTTCGTGAGACCACTTTTTAACACTTTAAATTTCACAGCAAAAATGTTGCGAAGGTAACATTCATAGTATTTTTGCTGTCAATGTTCAACTTTTTTTTTTTATCTTAACAACGTTTTGCTGAATGATCTTACGGATCTCATGAAAACAGGAGGTCTCACGTTAACCCAACCCATCGAATATATTTGTCATAATTGTTATAAAGTCAATATATATACTAAACATTAATCTTAATTAGAGATATAAATATCAATATATATATATATATATATATAATATTCTTGGTTATAGTATCTTTGAAATTTGATTATTGCATGTGTATTTAAATACTAGTGGTGTATCCGCGCGATACAGAGCGAGTGAATCACAATTCTTAAACATTAGTCTGACCTTGAATCATGAGTTTGTGTAGTTATTTTACAAGTTAACCAAAATATGCACATAAGAATCATGTGCTATAATACTTCACACTAACTTAATGATACTCGCAGTTTATTCTGTCAGTAATACATGACTGTTTGGTAGTTGCTTAATAATATAGAAAGTGCGATGTAACTAAATATTATAGACGTTAAAAATAACATCAATAAAAAGAGCATATTGATCCCAAACAAAAGTTTAGAAAGAATTTTGGGTGTAGCAAAATCAGAAAGTCCAACAAAAAAGAGATTTGTAGTAAATTTTTAGTTATGACATATACAACAAGGAAAATAAAGAACATACCTTGTTTATAGTCCACAGGCTTGTTTACATCAAGCATCTGTTTCAAAACACCCTATTTATTGCCAAAATGCAAAAAGAACAAAAAGAACTTGTCAAAATGAGCTATTTTGGACAAAATACAATGGTTGTTCTTGTTGCTTTTGCAGTTTGTTCAAAACCTTTTTGGCTTTTTCCAACAAGAGGTTGAACTATGTTGTTTAGAACTCACGGATTCATCATCACAGCATCTTAGGAGTTGTTTGTTTATCTCTTAATAGTTTTATTGAGAGGCAATCTCTGAATCGTTAAGAGATGAATCTTGTTTGACAAAAAAAA